GGAGAGAGAGAGAGAGAGAGAGAGAGAGAGAGAGAGAGAGAGAGAGAGAGAGAGAGAGAGAGAGAGAGAGAGAGGGATTGCCACGCTGTTCAGTATATGTGATTCTGACACGTGCTGCTTGGTTTGGTCTTTGACTTTTGCCTTGCAGGAAATGCTCCAAGATGCATTACGGCTCAGCATGACAAGGCCACTTCTGACAACTCCCCTTGGCGAAGTGCAACTGCTAATAAGCAGATTGGATGCTGATTACTTCATTTGGACATGCACATTAGAAGACCTGCTTAACATCAGTGACACTCTTTTTGAGTTTGTTGTTTGCTTCGATGTGTTATGTGTTTTCTGATGAAGGCGACCCCCCACAACTTCCCCAGGCCAAAACTGTCCAATCAGGCAATCTGTGCCCACCCACCCAGCTGAGACTCACCCACACAGACTTGTGCACTTGCACCCACCGACAGAGTCAAAGACTCACAAGTAAGCACATACATACAAGATTCGTCGATCACTAACGCAACATATTCAGAAAAAAACAGCAAAAAAACAAACTCAGGATCAGAATCGTTATTATTAGCTAAAAGATCAACGGGACAACGGGACAACATGACAGCACTTTCTCAGAAAGTTCAGAGAGAGTTCTCTGACTTCATCTTTGTGCGTCAGTGCACGCAGAGCAAAAAAAAAAACAAAAAAAAAACGATGTGCTGAGAATGTAATGGCTTCCGGAAAAAAAAAAAAAAAAAAAAAAAAGGCTTCCCGAAGAAAGAGTCACAGTAAAAAAAAGGACTCTCAGTAAAAAGGAAAAAAAAAAGGGTTCCTCACGGACAACTGATTTTTTTTTTTTTTTTTTTTGTTTTGTTTTGTTTTTTGTTTTTGTTTGTTGGTGTGTAGGTTGGGAGAAAGCGCACTCACTCTCCTGACGGAAAGAAGGAGCTTTAACGAGACGACGCCTCCTAAGGGGGGAGTATGGCAATGAACAACCCCTCCCTCTCTCCGTTTATCGGTGAAGTTGTGGTAAGCTACCTAACGGAATCCGTTTGCCGTTTACAAGCTGCAACATAACGGACACCCTTATCTGTTCCGTTTTTGTTGTGGCCGTTCGGGGCTACCCGGGTGGCCCGGGGCAACTTGCCCGGCCCGGTCGCCTCCCCAAAAATAATAATAATAATAATTAAAAAATGGGAAAATTTGTCTGGCGCCCCTGTAATTTCCATTATTTTGCATCGCGCCCCTCCGACGACCCACTTGCCCTGTCGTGCCCCTGGCACCTCTGAACTTGCATGCCCCTGTCAGCAAGGGGTGCAACTTTCCGCGGTGCCCTTACTGGACGGCCGGTCTCATTTCACGGGTCCTTGCACGGCCGGGCCGCCCTGTCAAGCAAGGTAAACCTGGGCGGCCCCGCTGGTAGCCCAGTTACCCCTTGATATAAGCCAGACCCCCTCCCTCCCCCTCCCCCGACCCCAATTGACTTCCGTTTTCTTGTATCCATGTCTGTTAACTAGGGGTACATAATTATTATGAAATTGAAAGTCATGGTTGTATTGGGTAGGTAGTAATGGGAGAAGAGCCAAAGAGAGACCCAATCAAGCCTTGTTTAATGGATTAGACATTTGGGATAGAGCCTATAGATAGGTAGGTATTATAGACCCAATCAAGCCTTGTTTAATGTATTAGACATTGGGGATAGAGACTAGGGATAGGTGTTATAGACCCAGTGAAGCCTTGTTTAACGGATTAGACATTTGGGATAGAGACTAGAGATCGGTGTTATTATTATAGGTCTATAATAATTGGTATCTTTTTCTTTCTCTTAGTGGAAAGAATTCATCTCTTTGCTTGTTCTTGGGTTGAGATGCAGGAAGATTCAGGGAAGGTTCCTGGTGATGGCATGCAATGGATTGGGATCTCCTTTTTCACGTGGGAGGAAATTTGTGCTGTGTATTTTTGTTTTTTGCAAGGCCCCAGGGGACGTTGTTCTCGATCTCAGCAATGCGGGCCCGGTTGTGCGATTGGGGAGTGGTCTGAGGCAGGTAAGCAAAGCCCCCTTTTTTTTTTTTGCACTTTCAGTTCTTATGGGTTTTAGGCTTCATCCAAAGCTTTTCTTCCCTTTTTTTTTTTTTTTTTTAAATAAAGTTAGACCGTTTCTCGATTTATGCGTGTCATCCTTGCGCAGGGAGGCCCCATGCTAATAATCTTTATTTTAATATTTTCTGTATCGTAACTATCGTTCCAATTTTAACGGTTTTCCCGAAGGACAGCGCTTTTCTGACAAAGCTTTTTTTGGAAATTTTTCCTCTTAAGTGTTATGAATTTCCAGCATCTCAAGCACTTCCACTCATCATCTCACTTGCACTCTTGATTGAGACGAGATCGCTCTGGACTGCAACCTCCACAGACAAAAAAAAAACGAATTGAATAGTCACATACAAAATTGTTGGATACAGAAAAAAAAAGGTGATGGATATTTGAAGGCCTGGGCTCTCTTGAGCAATCTACAGTTACACTCGGCTCGAGAAACAGGAGCACTTCCACTCTTCGTCTCACTTACACTCAATAAGCACAAGCAAAGCACATATTCTGGTTTCATCAATTCTTTTGTATGTGACAATCTGCTCAGGGAGGCAGAGTACTTATCTATGTGACAATCTGTCTCACTGAGCAGATTGTCACATACAAAAGAGTTGACGACACCAGAAAAAGGTGATGGGCAGGTTGCGGGTTCTCAAGTCCCGCGATCCCCAACACGCTAAGATGAAGGCCCGACCTCCCTGAGCAATATGCAGCAACCGGCTCGAGAAACCGTCAAAGTGAAACCGTCAAAATTCTTACTGGCTATGGTTGAACTCTCTCTCTCTCTCTCTCTCTCTCTCTCTCTCTCTCTCTCTCTCTCTCTCTCTCTCTCTCTCTCTCCCCCCCCCCTTGAGCAGTGCTGAAAATATCGCCTCTGTAGTCTTAGCAAGTGTGAAAAATACGACGAATTAAAATTCTGAATCGGGGTTTTGGGCCTTTTGGCCCCAACTCGTCACTTTCGAGGAGCAGCTAAACTTGCGCAGGCCTTCAGTGTCTGCCTACCAAAAGAAAAAGGGCGAAAACTACCAGCCAAAAAGATCCTACCACCAACTGGCCTAGCTCAGTTGGTACAGTCCCCCTGGACTGAACTGTTGAAATACAGACCTGAGTTCGAACTCCACTGGATGCAGATGAGTAAATTTACTACAATTTGGAATCACCTAGCGCCGGTCAGTTCGATGATGATATCTCAAGGCTGTCGCCCTTTCAAAAAAAAAAAAAAAAGGGGTATCTCAAGTCTGTCGCCCTTTCAAAAAAAAAAAAAAAATCCAGATGGGTAACTAGGGCACAGTCACGATTTCAGTTCTAAATCCAGTGGAGGCATCCCTCGAATACAACACATCCGAACCTGACCCTAAAGCTAGGTTCTATACATTCACAATTTTCCTCGCTTCGGAGCAACATTTGCGAATCGTGATTGAAACGCATTTTTCAAAATTCAAACTGAAACCATGACTGCGCCTTAGTTCCCCCACCTAAAAAAAAAAATAAAAATAAAAAAAATGCTACCACTTTGCCAGGCAATTAGGGACTGAACACACAGGTCCTGCTTTCAAAACCCATCTGCTTCAGAACAGTAAAAAAAAAAAAAAAAAAAAACTGCTCTTGCTTTGTTGGTTCCCAGGGTTCCAAGTCCAGGCAAGAACAAAAATAACAGAAACTTCAGCAGGTAATTGGGTAGGGGTTGTGGGTTCAAGTCCCGCGATCCCCAACAACTAAGAGTCTTCGAAAAGGCCGAAAAGTTTTTCTCAGTCAATGGAGAATGTTCTCTTTCCTAAAAATGAATCAAAATATTTAGGAAATCCGGTTAATTTTTGTGTGTCCCCGGCGTTGAACGACTTTATTTTGCCTTTTTTTTTCTTTTTTCTTTTTTTTTAATGTTTGTATTATGAGCCTCCATTGTTTGTTCGTGAAATTTTCGACGACATTGCTTGTGGTGATGCAGCGAAACCCACTGAATTTTGGCCTCCCATTAACCATTACTCCTTTGGCTATGGTTCCGCAGGATGGTAGAAATGGGCTGAGTGTCTTTTCAAGAGAGGGGGGGGAAGGGGGGGGCGGGGGGGGGGAGGGAGAGGTCCAGTTTAACTGCCTTTGAAACCCGTTACATCCCCCAAATCCCCTTTGAATTCCCGTTAAATGCGAAAATGGGGGTCTCCTGCCGTTTTCTGTTTAACTCTCAAGTGGTGTGCGGGGGTTTGGACACCCCTTGGAGCGTGGGCATGCTAGTTGCCCCTAGGTTGTGAGCTCAGATTGTGACGCAAGCATGGGAAGGGACAGCAATGTGGACAGATGGCTGTGTCGTTGCCGTCTCGTCGGATCGGATCGGAACGGATGGGCACGGCACCGTCATGGAGTTGTTGAGGGCATACCTCGGTGGGCGGGCTGAACAAGTCTGCAAATGATTTGCAATAAGTTATCTACTTTGGTGACCAATCACATCTTCAACACGCATGAAGGGGCGAAAGTGTTTGCAGTCATGGAAGTTATCTTATTGCAAATTGCGCATGAAGGGGGAAAGTGCTTCTTCACGGTTAAATGGTCAGTAGGCACGTGATTGCTATTGGTGTAAGGGGCGAAAGTGTTTGAAGACACCAAAGCAGATAACTTGTTCCAAATTGCGCATGTAGACAACTTTCACGACTGCAAACACTTTCGCCCCTTCATGCGTGTTGAAGACGTGATTGGTCACCAAAGTAGATGACTTATTGCAAATCATTTGCGGACTTGTTCAGCCCGCCCATGAAGGGGGAAAGTGCTTCTTCACGCCCACGTCTTCAACACACATGAAGGGGGAAAGTGCTTCTTCACCACCAAACGGTCGGTAGGCACGTGCAGATGAATGTGGTTATATTTCACCAGCGAGCTTTGCTTATTGTGAGATACTTTCCCGCTAGATCTGTGGCTCAGACGATTGTGCGATCAAAACAGGGCAGAGACAGACAGAAAGATGATTGAAGAGGGGTAAAGCTGTCGGGAGTGGGGGACTGGTCTGGGTGGGGGAGTGGTGGGTGGGTGGTTGATTGCTATTGGTGCAAGGGGCGAAAGTGTTTGCAGCTGCGCATATGGAACCTGTGTCGTAGGTTTTAGGTTGGCAATGGCATATCTGTTGTTCGCTGGGTGCCTGGCGGATATGTGTGGTGGTTTTCGGGAGGATCCTGTGTTGTAGTTAGAGGATACGCAGGGCGGCGGGCGTTGGCAATTGCAAACGGGGTGGTGGGCGTCGGTTGTTGTCGTGGTGGTTTTGGGGGCTGGGGGCCGGGAATGGATCGACGGGAGGCAGCAACGGGGGATTGTGTACCGTGGAGGAGGTAGTCACCTGACGTTGGCGTGGGGCAGCGACGTTGATCGCCTTGAGTTTCGAATAAAGCTTTCGTGTACGTGCGGAGGAAAGAGGGGTAGGGGGGGAGGTAGGGTGTGCGGAGGAGAAGGTGGGAGGCAAGACAGAGACGAGCAGCACAGAATTGTGATAGAAAGGTGGAGATGAGCGGTACGGAGCTGTGAGGGAACGTGTGTGGGACGAAGTGTACAGCAGGGGACAATTGTCGTGCCTCGTTTCTTTGTGCTTTTGTCTTCTCGTTCTCCTTCTTACGTTCTCCGTCTCCTATTCCAAGTTCTCTGTCGCTCTGTGCGTCTCCCGATCTGTTATTCTCCGGGATGAATGTTTTCTCTACATCTCTCCTCCTCCTGCTCTCTCTCTTTCTCTGTCCAAGCACGCTTTTTTTCCTTTTTAGCTTTTGTTCGTCCGAAAGTTGCGTCACTCCCGAACTCGATCATTTGATTTGCCGTCCTCCAGGACATCAGTCACAATTGGAACAATACAGAGAAGATTGGCATGACCCTTGCACAAAAATGACATGCATAAATCAGTAAATGCTCCAAATTACGTTTTTTTGTATTTTTTTAATTTTATTTGCCATGGGTGCATAATGCATGGACCCCGACCAGAGGCTATGTCGCTGGATCTTCGCAGTGACCCTTTTTTTTTTTTTTCCTGCGCCGAAGCTTTCTCAGATTGCGAGTGTGTCATTGTTGTTGTGGCTGAAGATGGTAATGGGGGGTTGGCAGAACCCCTACTCAGGTGTGCAGGTTCCATTATTGAGTTGGCTATGGATCCGTGTTGGCTTGTGGGCTGTATTGGAGCTGAGCAGGATGGGGGGGTCGTGACCGCCGTGAAGGCGGGTAGGCTTCAGCGGACAAAGCAGAACAAGTACTGGATCTCCGGGAGCCAGAAACGAGTGAGTAGAGGAGTGTGAGGCAGACTTTGCAATCCGTTCTCCTGTAATGGCAGGCCACACTCTTGTGTGTGTGTTTGTTTGTGTGTGTGTGTGTGTGTGTGAGAGAGAGATGCAGAGAGAGAGAGAGATGGAG